CAACAAAAAGAACTAGTTCTGTACCGTATTTTCTCGCGCATAAATCTCATCCAGCAATTGTGCTAATTTGTTACACTCACGGTCTGTAGTCTGGTGAGGTGTCCGGTCGGATTCTCCGTCACTCTGTTAGTCGGTGATCCGAGGGGGACCTAAAACGCTGGCCTGACAAGAAACGGTCTCTCAGGGCTTTACCTTTGTTACCGTGCACGGATCTGCAGCATGCCCATCTCAGACGTCACCGGCAACAGGATGAGGAAATATCCGGGTCACGTGCACCATTTAATGTAGGGGTTTTTCTTTTTTAGAAAACCAGCACCTATTAAAAAATAATTACCACAAACAGAAAACAGAGATGAGTTATAATAGACGCAAATTCTTTGCAAAGAGAGACATCATCCCGACCAAAGTCAGAACGAAGTCTAACGTTGCTTCTGTGTGCGTCCGTTTTTATTAGAGCATGTAGGAGGGGTTAACAGATAAAAACAAATAATACAGATGCAGCAGTATTAAAAAACACAGAAGCTACAAGCTCAGGTCAGAGTGTTCTCTGAATCCGTTCAGACCGCACTGCTCTCAGCGTGTCCAGCATAAATGTCCAAAGTACACTTCTACACACTTTGTTGAAACAAGCATACTGATAAAAAAAAACAGTTTCAAATGATCAATAGCACAAAACTCTCCAACAGGTATGTTACTAAATTGTCAACCTGTGCCTGTAAAGTCACCCACGGACCAGTTCCCCATTGGCTGTCATGTATTTGTTTGTCAAATTCTTCGTCCATCCTAACAGCTTCCTGTTGTGCAAACAGTCTTTGTCAAAATTCACGTTTTCACAAAATAAAATAAAATAATAATCTTTGTCAAAATTCCCATTCTCACAATGAACACAAACATTTACACACACACACTTTGTTGCCAGGTGAAAAGACACGACCGTTGCACTAGTTGCGTAAGAATGATCTTATCTTGAGACCTGGAAACCCCGCTCCACTCACAGAACACAGCTGTTTTCACATGGAGCGGTCTCATACAAACAAAACACAATCGCTCGTCCGACGCGCCTTAACTTTCTCTAGAGTTCAAAATCACAATTTCTGCTTCTCACACGACTGTGAGTAAAACACTCAAGTCCACACGGCGGTGGACGATCAGTTATGCTCTGACAGTCAAGCCAACAAAACAAACAGAACTGAATCATGGACACCACATAAACACAAATCACCTTGTTGTCTGGACCACACCACCAACTGACAAACAGAGACCAGAATAGACAAATAACACTGTCACTAGTGTAAATTACCTCTTAATATAAGAGACAACGTTGTTTTAATCTTTAGTCCTCTCATCACCATGTATGGGTCTCTGAGGGACTCAGCGCTTTCTCTTATTATTTCTCAGTGTAGTGAGCTTTCTTGTTATTATTTGTGATGAGTCACGTCAAGGTCAAGTTGCTTTCCTGCTGTCCCTGCATTCATAGCAATAAAAATATCATCTGAAGATGCTACTACTACTAGTACTAGTAGTCCCTCATTTATCACGGGGGATCTGTACCCTGAAGCCCCGCGAAAAGCAGTGGTGGAGAAAGTACTCAAACACTGTACTTAAGTAAAAGTACAAATGCACAAACAAAAAATGTACTCTAGTAAAACTAGTAGTGCCACATTAATGTTTTTACTTATGTAATAGTAAATAAGTACTTTTTTTGGAAAATACTTTAAAGTATTAAAAGTAAAAGTACTTGCTGAATGTATTACCTAATGCAATGGTCTACAATATCTTTGTGTGCCTACTGTATGTATATTTTCTGTAACACATTAATAGTGTTGAGCATTTTAATGAACAATGCTGCAGATAATACATGTTTTTATTGTGTAACACAGTTCACACTTGGACTTGTGATTCTGTGCATCAGAATTTCAGGGATGACGTGCAGAGTTAAATGTCATTAAGCAAAATACTAAAACTTGTGTCTGCTATGTCCCAGTTTTACTCTGAAATCAGAAGTGGCCTTTACACAGTTCTAAATTGACCTCATTTCATCAAATGAATAGTTTATATTTGTAATTATTTCTATCTTAACTTTTTTTTTTTTTGGTCTTTCCTCATGAGGACCTGTTCGCCTCCATTCTGGACCTACCATGCTGTCTCTCCTTCCTGTCCTACCAAACGAGCCGGTCAAAGCAGATGGCCGCTTGTCCTGAGCCTGGTTCTGCTGGAGGTTTCTTCCTGTTATGAGGGAGTTTTTCTTTCCACTGTCTCCTTTGAGCTCGCTCAGGATGAGACTGCGACAAAATGAAGACTCAAAACAATCTGCTTAGATCAGTGTGCCGTGATCTGGTGTTTAAAGTGTCACACCCACGCGCAGGCAGAGACAAGAGGACTCCAAAAGTAAAAATAATAATGTTTTATTAAACTAACCTGTATAAATAAAGGTTGAATGAAAAATGAACCGTTACAGCATATGTTAGCAAAATATCACATGAACAATTGGACAGATTTTGATGAGACTCTTGGAAATTAATCTTTGATGTAAATAAATAGTAGATTGACATTTGAAGTCAACCCAATTTAAAATCCCACAGCTTCTCTACCTTAGCCTGCAGAAAACACATCATTCAAGATGTTAAATACACAGTGTTATATGCATTATGTCCATTATTACTCTTTTACTTTCAGAGGTAATTAAGACCTCATAGCCAGACAACATGCACATGTTAGTTTTAGTTTATGTAGGCTTTTGTTGCATTTAATACTCATCCAGTCAGGTATATTTTTTTTGTTTTAAATAAAAACAGAACCCTTCACATTTATTCATTCTGTCTTGTTAAATTGAGGTATCTGAAAAGTCTTGGTTCTCAGTCAGGTAAATAATAAAGACACTTTAAATCTGTAGTCTTTAAAAAGCTACACATTTTATTGAAAGATTAAAAAAGAAGGCAACAGTTTACATTAAAGCCTTGTTAGTCTTTAAAAGTCCAAACAAGTTGATCAGAAATTGTGCAAGCACACATTCCAAATGGAAATCCATCCTCTTTCGACTGTCAGGCTTTACATATCTGGGCTTAATAAAAAAAAATCTCTAATAATCACTCCCCACATCTGTGAGCACAGCAGCAAACAGCTGGAACTCCCAGCTCAGTCCAACTTCTAAAGCAAATAGCTCAAGGCTAGAATAAAAATTAAAAAACTTTTCTTGATTTATACTGGTTTCAGCCAATTTATGGTTGGAAAACAGTATTTTATGGTATATGGTATTTTAAAGTGCCTGGGACATCAATATTTTAATAATACTGATGCATTTTTTTTGAAGAACATCATTTTTTTAAATCACACAGAAAATATGAATAGTTGTTGAGATATTCTCAGAAGAAGTGATCAACAGGAAGTGGTGACCAGAGCCCGACTGATATATCAGTAGGGCCGATATGTTAGGACGATATAGCGCGGTGATAATTGTTCCGTTATGCGCCGATATAAGCACTTCTAATTTTCACCCCATAAATGCTGGAACCAGCTGTAATTGTACAATGTTTCCAGCAGAGGGCGCATGAAGACTATTTTCAAGTCATGGCCGTTCACTTAAGTTTCACTTTCAGCACAGACGAGGTAGCGAGCAATACTGTGTCGAGTATTTTACTGAATAGAGCATGGTAAGTTTATTTGGACTGATCTGTAAAATAAAAAAATAACATCAACAATAAATTTTCTTCAATCCTCCAACCTGCTTCTCATTAGCTACTTGCCTCTCAAGTTAGCAAGCTAACATTTAGATAACCTAGCATAAGCTATTGCCTGTAAAACTTTATCCAGAACAATAAATCTACTAGATAAAATATATCTGCGTTATCTTTGTCGTCCTCAGTGAAATGAATTGTTTGTCTGAAATCTTTAATTCTCTGCCGCTGTGGTCAATACGAATACCTTCACCATACGTGACAGACTGTTTAAACAATGAACAGAGGAGGACGTTTCTTTGTTTAATTTATATTTATGTAATGCACTTGATAACTTTCCATTTTGAACAGTGGAGGATAGAAAATGTGAACGCACGTTAGGAAGACCGTTTTTATGACCTGTGCACCACATGTAAACCTAGCGTGGGACTAGATACAACGTGGCTCCGATTAGCTTAGCTTCATGGCTGCTAGCAGCTGCACTAAATAAAACTGTTTACTTAGATTCTTGGGGGTGGACAATGCTAAAAAATGATCATCCATTATATCGGTTATCGGCGGTCACCTTCCCGCCCAATAGCGGTATCGACGATAGACAAAATTTCCATATTGATCGGGCTCTAGTGGAGACAAAAGGAACGCCGGCATGTAAACAGCTACGTCTAACAACACTGAGAGAAGAATCTGATATTTGTTATATTATTTTGAGTCAATATCAGAAAGAAGTCAGAGTTCAAACAATGTTTCAGTTAACAAAAAAACAAGTCCTCCTTTTTAAAGAGGTCCCCTGTGATGTCACTTCCTGTTTGACTTTGGCTGCACCACGTTCAAAAGAAAATATGCCAGTTACGTGACAAAATGGGTAAAATCATGTGAATTAGGGGATGGTCCCAGGAGATTTGGATTATATTATATAATAATTAAAATGTATTATTAATGTAATACATACAACTGAAAACAAATTGACCCTGTGTATTTTTGTTAAGTGCCCATGTGATTTGGTTTTCGTGTGATTTAGTGCTTTTCTAACATTAAAATAATGTTTTGGGGTCAAACTTGTGAAAAATGCACCATAAGACACCTGCAGAAGTCACACTTCTGTAAGAAGTCGTCATCATGACTCAGAGACAGACCAATGAGAACACACACGTAGTTCAAAATATATTATATATGTGCAAATTTACAACAGACAGCCATTTTGGTTCTGTACATGAGGAACAAGTGATGAAACACTTTCATGCAATGAGTTGCACCAAGTGTTCCTGAAGGCTCATGGACATGTAAGAGCTGCAGCTCTCTTAAAGGAGCCGCAGGAACCACATCCTGTTAAAGAGCAGGTTCTGAGCGGTCTTCCTGCAGTGCGGGCCGTTCATCCTGTGAGCCGACGAAAAAGCAGACGTGTTGTGGGGAGGACGGGGCCATGAGAGGAGGGCAGGAGGTCGGTTTGGGAACCTGCCAGAAGCTGCTGTGAAGGTCAAACGAGGACATAGCTGGAAGGATGTCGCTCTGCGCGGACGCTTGGATCTCTGAAGGCAGCGGGGGCACACTCAAACACTTCCTCAAAGATGGCTCGCTGGAAAAACACAGAACAAGATTGTTCAAAAGCATTTCAATCAAGGCTGCATCCATCCATCCATCCATCATCCATCCATCATCCATCATCCATCCATCATCCATCCAAAACAAAACTTGTTCAAAAAGATTTCATCCAAGACTGCATCCATCCATCATCCAACATCCATCCATCCATCCAAAAGAAGTCTTGTTCAAAAAGATTTCATTCAACACTGCATCCATCATCCATCCATCCATCCATATATCCATCCATCCATCCATCCATCCATCCATCCATCCTTAGTCTTTGTTCTATTTTGTTGCCTTACAAGATGGAATTCAAATGAATATTTTATTAATTTAATTGTCTAATTCTCAAAAATAAACCATTAATAAAGGTAAAAGTGGTAAAAACAACTCATTCTAAAATGTTCTAAAAACATGAAACTGAAAAAGGTGTGTGTGTGTTGGTATTCAGCATCCACAGCTCATACTTCTGCATCAGTTCCAGCATGAAGTCTGTTCAAGTCCCTCTCCAGGATCTTGGTCCATCTAACCTGGACTTCTTGGTACCATCAAAGTGTTCAGCTCCTTCAAGTTGGATAAGATTCTCAGTTGGGCTTTGACTGAACCATTACAGGACCATTAACTGGTCCTGCTCAGACCAGCACATTGTTGCTTCAGCTGTGTGTTTCAGGTGAGCGTCCTACTGGAAGGTGAACCAAAGAAGTCCATCCTGTTAACTTAGATCTTTTTTTGGTGTCACTCTTCGTTGAAGCCCATCTCTGTGCAGCTCTACGTGGTCCTTTGGACAGATCCTGCTCCATCAGGGTCATTGTTGGCCTCCTGGCTGTTTCTCTGATTGATGCTCATCATACCTGCTCCATGGGTTTTGGTCCATGACCTTATGGATCCTTATGGAGACGGGTGCCGTGAGGCGTCCAGTGCGGTAACGCAAGCGAACCAAGAGAAGCTGGCGAAGCTCCGGGGAGAGTTCTCTTTGCTTTGTGAAGGCAGGACTCCCTGGAATGTGCTCGCCCTGAGAGAGGGGCCCTCGCCCTGGAAAGCGTTGTGGTTCCAACGGTGTCCGGTGAGCTCTCGCTGGCCCTTGAAAATCCGGGAGAGACGGTTGTAATCTCAAGCCGGGCCGTACCCATATCTACAGCACGTCTCCAAGAAGAACAGCCTCTGGTGTTAGAAGAAGGGAGATAAGGGAAGTCGACAAGGCAGAGCCATATGAGATGGTTTGGCTCTAAGGGCCGGGTCGGTTGGACTGGGGTGCGAAGCGGGGCTGGACACGCTCCACGACTGGAGGAGCAGCCCCCTGGTCCCCCTGGTCCATGAGCAGGGGAGTGGTGGTGCAGAGGTTAGACAAGGTGAGCCTGTGATCGCAAGATTTTCGATTCAACTTCCGAGACCGACAACATCAAAATGTGGGTGGACAAGGTGAAGCACTCACACCTGCCTCCACCCTCACTTGCCCCACTCTGGGCCCTTGAGCAAGGCTCTTAACCCCCACTATCTGCTCCCAATCAGGTCTCTCTTGAAAATGAGTGCTCGTGACTCAGTGAGACTAGGTGTCTAAATGAAGGTTCAATAAATCAAAAAGAAATGATGGTGGCAGGTTTGTGAGGTCTCAGGTGGATCCTACTCAGTAATGATGGAGCTTCTGAAGGTAAATACGTGAACCAGCACCACTTTTTCAGCTTATATATATTTTTAAAACGGGCTTTTTCCTCAATGGACTACTTTAATCTGGACTATTTTTTTTTAAATATTAGCTTTTTTCAAATTCAAAGAAAATTTATATTTTAAAAAGCAACAACATAGAAAGATAGTAAAACTAGTAGTTGTTTGCAAACCAATCATTTTTCACCTGTTGTAGCTGTCTGGCTTTGCCTTCCAGGCCTGTCGGTACACGTCGCCTGCCACACCAAACAGCCAGCGCACATCAGCAGGCACCTCTGGGATCCACTCCACAAACCTGGGCAGCAGAAAGCAAGTTTGATCCACATGAGGAGTTTGGTCATGATTTGGGTTCTTGTTTTGTTAAACTGTAGAGATTAATTCCCCCCCCCCAACACACACACACGTTGTGGAGAAGAGGGAGAGTAGAAAATGCCCTGTCTGTCCATCTGTACATGTTGTGAGCATAACTTTTCAAGTGGGTGAGTTACAAACTTCCACTTTGCTGATTAGCGCTTTCGGTCTAAAGTAACTTTAAGTCTTACACAACCGTATCTTCTGTCATACACGTCGCACCGCCCTATAAGTTGCATCAGGCCAGATATGTCTAATAAAGTGGAAAAATCCATAAATATGTTACTTCGTCGTATACGTCGCATCTCTTATGCATCACCACTGACAACCCAGAAATGTGGGCCGGTGTTGTGCCAAAAATCGATTGGCCATATGGTGGCCGCGGGAGCGTGCACGAGAGGACTTTAACAAGAATTTAACGAGATTAACACTTAAAAACAATTATTTGTTTACTCAGAATTATAGCAAAGGTGTGTCTCAGTCTAACTTTTACTTAACAAATGCACTTTGACGGTCAAATCAACTGCATTTCAAAACCCGATTCGCGGCTGTGGGAGCACGACTCACTGTGCATTTCTTCTAAATTTAACAAGATAAGCACCTAAAAATACCGTACTTTTCGGCCTATAAGTCGCAGTTTCTGCATAATTTACAAGCCCTGCGACTTATAGACAAAAGCATCATATTTATGGACTTTCCCCCCATATTTATAAACCATTTTTTGGCTGAGATATGACTGTTTCCATTCATTCTGACTGAAAAAAAAGCAGTACCACTTTCAGCCACTTGATGGCAGCAGAGTAGTAATAGTAGTATGGCATGTTGTTGTATCATGTAATAGGAAAACGTGGCTATAATGACAAATTCAACAAAGTTCAAGACAAAAACAACTGGACTTTATTTATTATACTTCACTTTATATTTTATTGTTTTTGTTTCTTGAACTCTTTTGAATTGACCATGTCCTGGATGACTGAGAATCTTGACCAGCTATTAATGACTCAATTGGCCTGCCATAGCCTCACCACGTTCATTCTGCTCGTTGCTTGGAACCATCAAAACAGATGCACCAGCCCGGTGAAATGCAGCTAATTTGACCATTAAAGTGCATTTATTAAACAAATGTTAGACTGAGACACACCTTTGCTATAATTTCGAGCAAACAAATAATTTTTTTAGGTGGTTATCTTGTTGAATTTTAAAGAAATGTAGCAGCTGCCCCAGCTGTACATGCCTGCTTTGCATCACTGGGGGAAAAAAAAACAACTATTTTTTAAAATTCAGCTGATTTGACCATAAAAGTGCATTTATGAAATAAATGTTACACTGAGACACATATTTACTATACTTTCGAGCAAACAAATAATTGTTTTGAAGCGTTTATTTTGGTAAATGTGCACAGCGACTCGTCACGTGCACACGTTTACTTCCGTGTATCAGGTTTTGAAATGCAGCTGATTTGCCCGTCAAAGTACATATTATTAAGCAAACGTTAGATTGATACACACGTTTAATACAATTTTGAGCAAACAAATGATTGTTTTGAGGCGTTAATCCTGTTAAAATCTTGTTAGAGTCCTCCCGTGCACGCTCCTGCGGCCGCCATTTGGCAGCCAATTGGTTTTTGGCACAACACCGGCCCACATTTCCGGGTTCGGCCCACATTTCTGGGTTGTCAGAAGCGGCCTTGGGGAAGGGAGGGGTGAGGAAACAGACAAAGCATCTTTGTTTTCCTAAACATGCCAGGAGGAGTTGAGATAAGTCTGCCGTCAAGGCCACAATTTTGGGTCAGGCAGAACTCATGAATTGCTGTTTCTGCCTTTTAAAAGTCTTGCTGGTATATATTCTCTGATGGAAACTCTAAACGGCCAAATTGATTCCTTACGCCGAAAGTCGAGCTCACAGCTTCTCCAAGATTATTCCCACCTTCATGTGTGCTGCTAGAGTTTTCACAATCCTGATAACAGCTGCTCCAGCTCTGACGCAGCTTCACATAATTCAATCTGAGTGCTGCCAAGCTTTGACACATCCACACAAATTTGTAGACAATCCCAATTTCACCAACCCAAACAGCAAAAAAAAACAGTTGCCATCATGAATCCGATTTGTTTCCGTCGAGGTAAAGAGGGTCCTCCTTACCCTGACACCTGTCGGGAGAAGTTGATCAATTTTGTTAAGACCAGCTGATCAAAATCCTTCAAATTAGGAAGGTATGCAGGAAAAAAAGAGGCTCTTTAAGGGTTCACAAGACCAAAGAGAGCAAGCAGGGAAGCGGGGTGAGATGGAGCACAGGAGGACACGTCTGACTTCACTGGAGCACAGAGAGAAAAAAAATATATATAATAGATGCGACGTATACGGCGAGATGACATATTTATGGATTTTTCCACTTTATTAGACAAATATTTACTGATGTGACTTATAGAGTGGAGCGACGTGTACGGCGGAAAATATGGTAATTATTTGTTTGCTTGAAATTATATCAAAGGTGTGTCTCAGTTGAACTTTTACATAATAAATGCACATCAGTGGTCAAATCAGTTTCATTTCGCTGGGGCAGCGCAGTGAAATGAAGCTGATTTGACGGTTGCTCCAGCCATGACCCCGGAGCTGGACGAAGGTGGCAGGCTATGACAAGCCGAATGTGTCATTAATAGCCACGTTTACCTATTACATGACACAACGGCATGCCATAATACTTAAGTTTATCCCAAGATGGTGCCGGTGTGTAGGGCTTGCCGTCCCTCGCTCTCTGTTTTTCTTCTATTTTTGTTATTTTTACAATGCTTTGTGCAGTGTACTGAATCATATTTGCAGTATGATCGTCGGGCACTTTTGGAGCTCTGAACGGAAATGCCAGCGGAGTTTTTGTACAGTGGTCAGCACTCTCCTCCGTTTCTGTCTGAGACTCCTGCATTTCTTGTACGTGACCCTGGCCTTTTTCCCTGGAGGAAACGTCGCAGACGTCGTGGGAAGCGTGCAGGGTTTTTGGTGAAACTAAGGCACCGTGTGGATTATTCTGTCAAGAGTTATGGGGCTCGCTCTGGCTCTGATCATCGCCTCTCTGACCCGTGGTGCTTCAGGGACCCAGCTGCTGGCCAGCTACCTGCGTGCTCAGTCCATGTAAACAACTGGAGTTGTTTACCTGCGCAGCGCACAAGCCGACCAGGAGGTGCTGTTCTTCAAAATCTGCGGCCGCTGGCACGCGCTCCCCCCACCACGGATGTGTTGGCGTTGGACTCTATCAGGATGTGTTTGATCAACACAAGATCTGTTTCCAAGACTTTTATCCTCAATGACTTTTTTTTAAAGATGAGGAGTTGGATTTTCTCTACGTCACAGAATCTTGGATATCTGATGGTGAGTCTAGCGCCTTGGTGGAATTATTACCTCCAGACTGTCTGTGTTTTAATGCCCCGCGGCCATCAGGCCGGCGCGGTGGTGGATTATTAACAGTCTTTAAACCAAACTTTGACTATAAATAGTTGGCCATCTCGGTTTCTCGCTCCAGCTTCAAGCTAAGCACCTTTGAACTCGGACATTCTCCTCCAGTTTTGTGCACACTCGTCTACCACCCCCCTCGATCCAAGGACTTCATAAGTGAATTATCTGACTTTTTGGCTGATATCACACCGAGATACAATCATGTTTTGATTATTGAGGATTTTAATATGCACGTGTGTTGTCAGGAGAAGCCTTTAGTGAAGGACTTTATAGATTTACTGGACTCTTTTAATTAACTCAGCAGGTAAATGGTCCCAAACAAGAGCATGGACACACACTGGACCTTGTTTTAACACGCAATGTTTCTGTTTGTAATTTGGAAATCGGTGACAATGTTTTTTCAGATCACATGCCTGTATTGTTTGACTTCACCCCCATGTCCTACTGCTAAGCCGTGCACTCTGGCACGTACCACACGCACCATTAACCGGTTCACTGCTGCTCGTTTCACTGAAGCTTTTAACTCTGAGAGGATCGAACAGCTCTCGGTGTCTCTTACCACCGAGGAGCTAACCTCTCAGTTCAACTCAGACTGTTTAAATGTTCTGGACCATGCTGCTCCCATTAAAACCAGAAAAACAAGACTTAGATCTGAACCTTGGCTTAATGACATCACTCAAGCCTTTAGACAGACGTGTAGGAGGGCAGAACGCAGGTGGAGGCAAGACCGGCTGCAGGTTTCTTTTCAAATGTTAAGGGAGAGTTGGCATCCTTATCAGAAAGCAGTTAAAGCTGCTAAATCTAAATTCTTCCCTGATTTAATTGTCTCCAACTCCCACAACCCCCGAGCTCTTTTTTCCACCCTGAACTCAGTTCTACACCTCTGAACCTTCACCTCTGGAAGCCTCAACTGAACTGTGTGAGAACTTCCTTCATTTCTTCTTAGAAAAAGTTGCAAACACCCGGGCACTAATTTCTCCACCAGCTCACGATCCTTCCATCCCAACTCAATGTGCAGCAGTATTTGACCACTTTGAGCCAATCTCTTTGTCTTCTCTGGAGCAGGTAATGTGCAGCATGAATCCATCTGGTTCCCCCTTTTGATGTGGTCCCCCCTCGACTACTAAAGGAGTTTTTTTTTCTACTCTGGGCCCTTCTATTCTTGCTATTGTGAATAGCAGTTTATCCTCAGGTGTGGTGCCAAAAACTTAAACATGCTGCTGTCCAGCCTCTCCTGAAAAAACCCAACCACGACCCCTCAGTCGTGTCCAACTTCCACCCTGTCTCCAGACTCCCATTCACCTCTACACTACTGGAAAAAATTGTGGAGTCTCAGTTGAAGTGCTTCTTGGAGGATCACGCTATCGAGTTATTCCAATCTGGCTTCAAATCTCTCCACAGCACTGAAACTGTTCTACTGAGGGTTTTTAACATTTTCCTAGCCACTGATGCAGGTGATTCTGTGCTGCTTGTCCTATTGGACCTTACATCTGCTTTCGA